TTTTTCCTTGTCTTTGTGTATCTATCTTTCTGTGGTCAAATTAAATAAGTGAATGAATAAATAAAATTTAAAAATTAAAAAAACTTAAAAAAAAAGGAAAGTGAGAAATCACCCCCTGTGGGGGGGTGGCCACACTGCAATCTCTTCTCCTCCATTCTCCTTCTGACCTTGGCCATGCACGCACACACACGCTTGGTGTGATTTTTTTTTAATATTTTATTTAACTTTATTTTAATCTGACCAGAGAGGAACAGAGCAAGGCAGGGGAGTGAGGTGAGAAAGCAAGCTGCTAGGTCTGGGACTTGAACCACGGTCGGCCATGTGGGAGTCCAGTGCCCTTCACCACCTCGTCACCTACCTGCCCTGAACTGTGGGTTTTAGAAGGGTATCTCTGTGGCCACAGGAGGGGGCACCAGGCCCGCTCTTTGCCGTGGGCTGCCCGGCTTTCCCTTTTTTTTTTTTTTTTTAGAGGGGTTTTTGCCATAGGGCGCGTGCACTCGCCAGCCAGCCAGAGACAGAGAGATAGAAAGCGAGAAATCACCCCCCTGGGGAATGGCCACGCCGCAATCCCTTCTCCTCCTGGGATCTTGGGCATGCACACACACGCGCCTGGCGTGAGTTTTAAGCCACCAGGTCCGGGAAGCGAACCGAGGTCGACTACAGGGGAGTCCAGCGACATAGCCATTACGCTAACTGCTGGTCCCAAGCCATTTTTAATTTGGTTCCTCTCACTGTCAAAGTGCCCTAAATAAGAAAGGGAGAAAATGAAGCCTATGAGAAGCATGCATTAACTAATGCAATGTAAGTTATAGGACAATTTTCTGTGACTGTATAAGCTGACATCTCTCATTTCAATAGTGGGAAGAAAATCTAGAACTAGGAGGGTTTTAGTGTCATTTAAAAGATGAGACTGGGGCCAGCAGGTAGATAGTGGTTAAGGGCAGTGGACTCCCACATGGCCAAGGACAGTTCAAGTCCCAAACCTGGCAGTTTGCTTTTTCATTTCGCCTCTCTCTCTTTTTTTTTTCTCTCTGTCCCTCTCTGGTCAAATTTAAAAAAGAAAGAAAAGTAAAAAAGAAAAGAAAAGAAAGAGAAGGAAGTAAGTTTAAATAATTCTTTTTTTAAAATAATTATTCTATTTATTCATTATCATTATTTTAATTTGATCAGAGAGAGAGAAAAAGAGAAAGTGAGAAAGCAAGCTGCCAGGTCCGGGACTCGAACTGCCATCAGCCATGTGGGAGTCCAGTACTCCTTAACCACCATGCCATGTGCTGGCACTAAAATAATTATTAAAAATAAAAAAATGAGACTGACACTGAATCAAAAGTCTCTTTTTCCGGACCAACAGTTTAGCATGGAAGTTAGGGCACTAGATGCCACATGGCTGGCTGAACAGCTTGAGTCCTGAACCCTGCAGCTTGAGAAACATGCTGGGTACATGTGCATGCATGCCCAAAATCCCAAGGGAGAAGGACTTATGGCGTGGTCATTCCTCCTAGGGGGTAATTTTTACCTCTCTCCCCCTACCCTTGGTGAGTGCACTTACCCTATAGCAAAAAAAAAAAGAAAGTATTTTCCTCCCTGACCAATCCTCATGGCTTCCCCTCTCCAATAGCCCATCTCTACTTTTCTCTCCTCTCACTTTCTCTTGTGCCTTCCCTCTGCCCCGTTTCTGTCTCTCCTCTCTCTCTAGGTGTGTCTTTGCCACTGTGTGTGTAGCTGCACGTGTCTCTGTCTCTCTCTGCTCGCTCTTTCACAGCATCCTCTTCCCACAGCTGGCTCCCTATTCACAGGAAGACCTGGGTGAAAACCTCAAGTCAGAACATATAGGCGAAGGGTGGACCTGATTCAGGACACTGCCAGGTTCCTCTCCCTCCACCCATGGCAATTTCAGTCCCAGGTGCTCCAGTGGGTAGGCTCACTGAGGTGCCCTCCCTAGACTCCATCAGTATGTCCCCTGGTCTGAGATGCCAAGGACCCAAGCCATGGGCCCAAGCCCAGTGCCTCACCGCTGCCACGGTCATGCTCGTGGAGTGTGGAATAGGTGCCTGTGAAATAGTAGACGAGTTGGTTCTGCCGAATGAAGAGAGTGCTCTCAGTGGCAATGGTGTCATAGATGGTTGCTGTGAAGCCAGTCTGGGGACAGTAGAAGGAGCCTACCCAGCAGCTGTCGATGCTCAACTGCAGGGGAACAGAAGCTGGTGGTGAGCAGGTGGCCTTGGCCTCAGCCCCCATGTCCTGTCTTGGGGAGAGGCTCTTGCTCTGACCACTGCTTGGACAGACATATGCAGCTGCGCCAGTGTGCTCTCCCTGCTCACTCTGCAGCAGCACCTTGGTGGCCAAATTTCCCCAACGTGGAATAGGGAAGCAGACAGCTCAGGCCTGAACCAGTGTGAGCTCTTTGTGTCCTCTGGAGTTAGCTAGTGCACAGTATGTTCAACAGTCCCTGTGCCCTGACTATAGTTAGGGTTATATCTACATCAGTATAAAACATCCCGTGCATTGCGCATCTTAAAAATCCTAATTTACCTTGAACACATTGGCTGTCAAGTTAATGCAACCTAAGCCCACACAGGCTGATTACTAACACTGATAACATCATCAAAGCCCCACCAGTGAAGAGCTCTTAGGTAAAAGATTTCATGTAAATGTCATCAAGCCCTATAGCTCATTACAAATTGATAAGCAATATGGGATGTTACAGATTGAATTGTGTCCCCCCAATTAATACACTGAACACTAATGAGACAGAGAGCACTTTCTTTTTCTCTTCTTGCTCATGTGCAAGGCACAGCCATCTGCAAGTCAAGGAGAGGCCTCATGAGAAACCAACCCTACTGGCACCATGACCTTGGACTTTCAGCCTCCAAAACTGAGGCTATAAATCTCCATCATATAAGCTATCCAGTCTTTGTTATGGCAATATATGGGGTCATAGGAACAAGCTAATTGACACCATGGAGAAAAAGGAAATAGGTACATTTTATAGGACAGAAGATCTATTTGCCTAAAATAGGGCAAGAAGGAACAGACTTACAGGTGACGAGAGCCTTAGAAGACTGAATACCCAACTGTAATGTGTCAATCTTAATTAAAACAAACAAACAAAAAAACTACAACAACAGAAAACAACTTCAAAACATGTTTTCTACGCCGGGTGCATGTGCATGTGTGCCCAAGATCCCAAGAGAAGAATGGAGAAGGGATTGCGGCATGACCATCCCCCCGGGGGGGGTGATTTCTCGCTTTCTGTCTCTATGTCTCTGTCTGTCTGGTGAGCGCACGCGCCCTAAAACGAAAATACAAATAAAAATAAAACCTCTCAAAAAAAATAACATGTTTAGATTTACTAGGGGAAACTGACAAGAACTTGGTAACAGATATTAGTGGGTTGCTGTTAATTTTGCTGGGTATCATAATGACATTGTGTGCATGTATATGTGTGTTTTAAGTTTATTTCTTCCATGACAAAGAAAAAGAGAGACAGACAGAGCACCCCTAACAGGGTCCCAATGCTGCATTCCACCCCCAGTTTTCAAATAGCCCTGGATCATGGGCACACATGTGCTCAGCATATTCAGGACGGTCTCCAGACTTGTACTGGGAACCTTCCAGGTGGAAGGTAATGCTTAATAAGCATCATATTTTACTACTGTGCCACTATCTAGCTCCATGACTTTATTTTATTTTTTATAATTATTTTATTTTACTTATTTTTTGGAGAGGTTTTTGCTATAGGGTGTGTGTGCTTGCCAGGAAGACAGAGAGACAGAAAGCAAGAAATCACCCCCCAGGGGGGGATGGCCATGCTGCAATCCTTTGTCCTCCATTCTCCTCTCTGGATCTTGGGCACGCACACACGCACCCAGCATGAGTCTAAGCCACCAGGTCTAGGACTCAAGCCATAGTTGACTACATGCGAGTCAAGCGACAAAGCCATT